TTCTCTAACATAGTTTTACTGTTTTTTATTGAAAGTTTGGTTTTAAAAAGTTGGTCCAAATGATTGTTGGGAAGAGTGTCCTTCTATATACTAATCTATAATATTATATAATTTAAATATATTATATAATATAACAAAAGAAACTATTTTAAATAAATTAATCAAATATTATATAAACTTTTCAATTTTGTATATTTTCTAAACCAATCAAATTATCAATCATAGATTTAATTATATATTGTATTAAGAAAAATTGTCAATGGCAACCCATCATCATAACAACTCTTATATGATTAGCCAATTACATTAAAGATTGATGATCATATAAATAAAATTTTTATTTATTTATTTTTGTTTTTGTTTTTAGAATATTATTTATTTTCTACATCATGTTGTTATTGAAGTCATTGTTGGAGTTGTTATTGAAATTATATTTGCCATGGTTTTTGGTGTTATTGTTGCTTGTGATTTCATCATGGTTTTGGTACTCATAATTTTGCTATGATTTTAGTATCATTGATACTTGTGATTTTGCTATAGCTTTTAGTGGTATTGGTACTTGTAATTTTGCTATGATTTTGGTGTTATTGGGTTTGTAAATTTGATGTGGCTTTTAGTGTTGTTGGTGCTTGTAATTTTATTGTAGTTTTTGGTATCGTTGGTGCTTGTGATTTCACTATCATGTTTAGTGCTATTAGTACTTGTAATTTCGCCATCATGTTTAGTGCTGTTAGTACTTGTTGTCAAAAGATTAGAGTAAAGTTAGTAATAAGATTAGAGCAAAGTAGAGGCCAGAAATGCAGACGAATCATCCCAATTTGCTATAACTTTGCCATAACTATAGTAAGTAATATAGAAAGTTGCAGTATTATTGCTGTAACTTTTTATATTACTTACTATAGTTACAGTGTGTTATAGCAAATTGGGACAATTCGTCTGCATCTCTAGTAAGAGTATATAGTTAAAATAGAAGTTAAATTATTATTTATTACTTGCATTTGTATTTTTATTATACAAATTAATAAAGTATAAATTATATTTATAACAATAATAACTATAATAAATTTTATTATTAAATCGATTTTGCAATAGAATTTTTATATAGTAGGCTGATGTTTAATAAAATTATTTTCTTTTATTACTATATTAATAAAATTACAAAAAAATAAATTAATTATATCTTAATACTATAAGTAAGCTTGTTCTACATACAAAAATATACTATATTAGTATACATTTGATCAAAAATTCAAGATTAAGCATATTTTTTTTAAGATTTAAAATTATAAAGTAAACGTATACCAATATGGTATATTTTTATATGTAAAACAAGCTTATTTAGAGTATTAAGATAGTATTAATTAGGTGTGGTAACTTAGTAAAGTGGTGGAGTTATCGCACCCCCAAACGGCAGGTCTAGAGTTCGAATCTCACAGATGATGATTTTGAAAAAACTAGATCTGTATTGGTTAACGTTAAGATTATCGGTTGGATCCAGATATCTGTAATCTT